AGACCGATCTGGGCTGTGACACGACCCACCAAGTCTGTTTTCATCTTAATAAGTGCCTGCAGAAATACCTAAGGGGACACAGGATTCTGCTGCACCAGGCTGACTGCCATACAGCTCTTCAGCTCCACCAAGTTATTTGGCCAAGAAGTGATCTCACAGCTTGCTCCAAATCAGCTTTGTTGGCTTTGTTTGATAGGCACAAATAGCATCAGCAAAGGAAGGGAAGAGGCAGGGATGGAAAGTTATCACCATGTTTTCCTCCCCATCAGACAGCTTTGTCTCCTCTAGCACAAACAAGCCAATAACTTGCTCTAGCTGAAAAGTCTGTGGCAACTGATGAGAACTTTCAAAAATGGTCCAGAAAGAGGTAAGCTGGGAATTGTTCATACAAATGTTTATCAGTAAAGCAGTCAGCAGTGAAACAGCCTTCTTTCCAGGCAGGAACAGGACAGCAGCTGGAGACCCGGCTGCCATCACAGTGCCCTGCTTACAAGAACAGTTCGTGGAACAAGTCTTGCAACTTGCATATACTATTCACGTCATCTCCCAAATTGCCAATTATGTGGTCAGTTATCACTGATGAACAAAGAAATAATGTCAGAAAACACATAAGCTGGAAGCTTTTAATTGGATGAGAAAACCCTGAGTCATACAGAATTCATGATATCTGAGAATGCAAAGAAGAGATTTTAGCAGCAAGGACATGACGGCTGTTCTCTGCTGAGGGAGAAAGTTTCAGCCCTGTCACATCAAGTCCCATTGTAGCCACAGCACTCAACACACTTGCTAAAAATACAGCATTATCTATATGTTCTGTGCTAGCAATTAAGCTATCAACATGCTTATTATTTAAGGCCTAATAAAACCTCAAGATTTGCCTTAGAAAATTAAAAGTGTTACGTGCACATATATAGCAGTGACAGAATTCCTATAAAACGTGTAAGCCTTTAAATAACCTTCACTTCACAGTGGAGCTTTTTTAATGTTAGTATTGTGAAGGAATAATTAGTAGTGACTCGCCATCAGTTTATGAGAGCCTGGGAGAAGCTAAGTCCTCATATGAAAACACAAACAGTGTTTATGGTGATGAGATTTCTCATGAGGAAGCAGTGGGGGACTGCACCAAAGCTCTCTAAAGAGACACGTTCTCAGAATCTAAAGAATTTTATGCTTCAGTAGTCTGCACTGCTCAGTTTGAACAGTAATAGTTTTGTCATCTCCTCAACAGAGGCGGAGAATTGATTTTCTTCCTTCATCCTCACGTGGAGTTTCCATCCTCACAGTGTTTCCACTGGAAAGACAGGCATCTGTATATATAACTTGTATATTAGGCTGGATATAATTTACATGAACTCTACCTGAAGCATAAAGCAGCAGAACCAATTTGTCTCTCGAATTCAAGCCAGACACTTTAAACTCCATGTTCACAGACCTATCTATCCGGACCATCTTTTTTGGCATACAGCCACTGTTACGTTTTCCAGAAGTTTCTTCCCTTCAATTTGTTGCCCTCCCTCTTCATTGCAGAAGAGGCAGCAGGCTGCCCCACAAAGAGCCCTGCTCCAGCTCCTATGGGGTGGGAGGAAAAAAAAAAAAAAAAGAAAAAGAAAAAGCATTCTCTCCAGTTCTCCATTCCTAGAATCAAGGGCACCCAGTGAGCAGCCACACCGCCTGCTCCTCACTGCCCTCACCCCAGGGGCTGCACAGGGCTGCTGGGAGGAAATGAGAATTTCAAGGAACATATTACAACAGAAAAGTAACAAGAGGTGAGCATCACAGACACTGCCCCAAAAACTGAAGGTGCTTTAAAATGCAAGGGCTCTCCTCTAAGCAGACTTATAACATAACCCATCATAGCCAGGCAGTATGTTTTGCAACACATTCTTTTTTACCAATCTATTTCTGAAAAGGAGAAACATCCTCAAATCAGCACCTATTACATTGTAAATAACGCTAGTACACACTGATGCTATCTGGTGGAACAACTTGGTAGCCTGTAAAATGGAATTAAATGTGTCACTTCTCTAGTATGTCAATAACAATTATTTTTCTAACGCTTGTTCAGTTATAGGAATACATGAAAAGAAGCAATCACATTACAGAAAACATGATTTGATGTTGTTTGTATACACACACTCATGTACTGAGAGTTTGTTTTATCTCCTGAGATTATGGTTATTGCCTGCAAGTTCTGTGTAAGAACAGTATAATCATAAGAATAATAATTTCCATTTTATTTATGTAGAACATAAATTTCTAAGTACTTACAACTCAAGGTCAGCTGAAAGTTACCACAGAAGCAACACTGTTTCATTAGCAATGCAATGGAAATAAAAGACAAAAAATCAACAACAACATTTTAAGAAACCCTGGAGACTCACTAAAACCACAGAGGCTGCAGTGCAGCCAACACAGAGCTCCATCCCCAAAACGGGACCAGAGCAGCACACCAAAACAATGTCATGCCATGGGTGAAGCCAAGCCTCAAGGCAGCAAAAGTGAAAAAGTCATAGCAAATAGACTTGAGAAGGCAGGGGGGTAAAGCAGAGTAAGTGTAAGTGCTAGCATGAGGTTCTGATCAAGAGCCCATGTCAACAGGAAGAATAACAAGCACCACCCAAATATATTATATAATATAAAAAACACAGAAGGTGAAGCAGAAGTCACCCTGAGAGGTACCAGAACTCCTTGATACAGGAGAATGAAGGTTATTATTACCCATAGTATTCCCTCAAAAATTTCAACTTTTTGTCTTAGTCCACCCTGCATGCTGGCTGCACTTGCAGAGCACCAACAGTTTCCCATCCTTTTTAAACTATGTGCAGCCTTCTGAGTTTCACAACCTTAAGATATTCTACAGAACATATCATGAAACACATCAAAGAACTATACAAAAACATCTGATAAGACTTATTACCAGCTAGTACCAGCGGTGCTCCACTGGTAGCTGTTTTGCTTCTGAAAAGGATAGCAGTATCAAGACTTATCCTAGCCTTTGAGATAAGGTTTTCCACTGTGATCTGTCTAGGTAGTCAACCAGCATGAGACGTTCACTTTTGTGATACCAAAAGCACCGGCATTTAAATACATCCTAATTGCCTTAACAAGGACTTCCAATTAAAAAAAAAAAAAAAGCAGTTAACACAGAGGTGCATCCCAAGTACTAGAGAAATCCCTTCTGACCTAAATTGGAAAAAAATGTCTGGAAAGTTGCATTTTCAGTTTGAGAGATTCCTTTGATGCCTTGATCAAACCACTCAGTGAGCAAGACTCAAGACCATCAGAACTACAGTTTCACTAGACAGAACAGATTAATTGAGACAAATAAGTTTTGGGGCTCAAGGATGAGAGGCACAAATTCCTATAGTTGAACCAGGGGGAAAAAAAGAAACCCTCAGGCACCAAAATGAACAGATTCAAACTTCTCCAGCTAACAGTACCATGTGCTTCTTTCATTAGGCCCTCATTTTGACAACAAGCAAGCAAAAAGCTGGCCAAGGAGCTCCTATCCTTTTTGACACTGTGGGCAGCCTATCTCAGTCTATGTCTTTGTCAGGCTAGAACATGAGCAAGGCTCCAAAGCAGACAACTCACACTACCCACCAGGAATGACTTCATTACACTGCTTACATTGAAAATATTCCACAGCTGTTATCTCAAGAGAAGGCACCAGCTTAAGCTGTCTCTCCACACACACCTGACTCCCTCTGATTTGAATGCACTCATGGTCGGCCTGCACTAACCTCACCACTTGCTCTTAATGACTGAAATACATCCAGAGGCAGCCAGAGAGCACAACTGAAAGCCTAGAAGTTCCCCGTATTTAGTTCAGACATATTAGCACTGAAGTCTAGTTATGAACCATCTAAACACATCCACTGTTCACAGCTTCACAGCCTAGAGCCAATAAAGGAACATTCATCACATGTGCAAGGCAGAGCACGAAGTGCTGGTTTGCATTGGCCACCACAAACCACTCCTTCAAGCAGGTTTTCTGGTCATCACCAGCGACTGCAGTCGAGTGATCTGAAGCATTCACAGTAGAAAATGTCACCATTCACACACTTCAGTAAGCTGAGGGTCAGAAATCAAACCCTTCCTTTTTGCTCTGTGTAATGCTATAATGGGATGATAATAGCAGAGTGGCAAAGTCTTTGGCTACAGCAAACGAGAACAAGCCCAAATACAGCAGCCACAAATACAGAAATGAAGGAAAAGAGCTGCTTACCTTTGGAAGGCCTCAGGTAGGCAAGGATATCTGGCAAGAGATGCTCTCACTTCCACTGCCAACCCTTAAATGAGGTCTGGGGTCACTGAGGTGCATTACATTACATGCACCTGAGCTCCTCTGCTTTGGCCCTGCCTTCCCAGCAGGTGCCCAATCACCAGTTCGCGCTGTGACTACATTTCTGCTACACTGTAGTCTAAAGCTATGAAACAACCCACCGCTCCTTCCCCAAGTCAGGAGGAAATATAACTTCCAAGATAATCTCATGAATTGCCTCAGGATTAGAAACTGAGATTCACTTTTTAAAATTTTCTCTGCACCTCCTTATTTGAGAGAAACAGAAAGCAAGCCAGGACTCCAGTGCAGCAAACATACCTCAGGAAGCTGATACTTAAAAAAAACAGCAACCATCATGAGAGCTGGCAACTCTCAAATCACCAGTTGTAGAGGAAAGAATATTAAACAGCTATCATCAATCTATCTGGATCCAGGAAGCGAGCCATGAAATGCTGACAAAGGGGAATATCTGGTCTGACAGTGAAGGTATATTTATCTTTTAAATGAAGAATAATGGAGTTACACTGAAGAGACATATTTTAGCTCTGCAACAGTGAAGTATCAATCCCACCACCTCATAGTGATATTTGAACACCCCCAAGGTAAGAAAATTTATTTTATCAGCTATTTTAGAGACCACCATTTTACACAGTTACTGTAGTCTCCAAAGGAACTACGTGAGCAGCACAACCAGAACAGCAGTGTGGAAACCAACCTTCTGAAAAGCTCTAGCACAGTCCCCTCACAGCAGCAGCCTGGGTAACCAGCTCTCCTTTCATCCTCTGCTTCTTTTCTGCCAAATAGAGATAATGCCAGATTATCAAAAGAATGTTAGGGGTTTTGTTGAGGCTGAAAACATTTTCATCTGATTTGCTTCCCAACACATTAGGCCTCACAACCAGGAGTGTAATTAGCACATACTTACACAGAGCATCGCTTAAGGAATGCATATCTGTGCCCCGGGTCACAGGCTGGGACAGAAGCCATAGCACTAGGGTACAGATAACAGCAAGATGCACTCCTAGCAGCTCTGGGGCTGTCTAAGCGCACTTAACCCCAGACCGGGCTAATTTTATACAGACTACTCCCCCCAAAAAAAAAACAAAAGAAAGAAGTGGCAAACAACTAAAATCCTTATCTGAACACCTTTCTGCCTGCTGAGCGAGCTGAGATAGCCTCAACACGTTGTATCTCTTTCATCTGAAGACTAGATTCTACCTCTAAGGACTCAGGATTACCCTCTAATCCTGATATGCTTACCTCCTTTTTTCTCCCAGTATCCATGTCCTGCCTGCTGACGTTATGAAGAAAGTATGGGGGGGAAAAAAAAAAAAAAGAAAAAAAAACACAACTCAAAAAACACAAAGCAAATTCACTGCTTACAGAAAAACTCCTCCTTAGCACCACACATAAGTACTAATGTCCTACCTCACTCTGAGCAAAATGAGCACCTGCTGCCTGGAGACAGAGCAGCTGCTCCCAACACAAGTTTCCTCCCACCTGCCCCATCAGCCTGTCCTTCAAACCCTGCACCCTAATTGCATACAGGTGGAGTCAGACCTCTAGGCAGCCCAGCCTCCTTTTGCTTAAAGTGGTAGTAAAGTAAAACAGTCTTGGGTTGAAAGGGGGCACTTGGACACATAATATTCGGTTACACCAAAATACAGATAATGGGAAAGAACTACAGCTGTTGTAGTCATCCTGTAAGAGGTCTGTTCTTGGGCAGCCCAAGGGTGGCAGGTTGTTAATGCTGGCAACCTGAAAACCTCTGCCCTTCTCTCCACTTTGGAAGCTCTGAAAAAATATATTTACATATTATTTTTACTACTAGGGGCTTTATCTTAACAGCAGCCAAAAATGCAGCAGCAGCATACATAAATCTGCACTACTAGTTGACTTACCTCTGCTTTGCAGAACACTCCTACAGAGTGAAAAAGCCCAGGCCAGGCAGCCGGCCATCTGAGGCCAAAGCATAGTCTGCCTGGCAGCACTTTTGTGCTAGGTCAAACACACAGATACGCAGCACATGGTTCCTCCTGCTGTGAGGCTCTGGGGCTTTTGCTCTTTCTAAGGGAACGCTTTGCAGAGAGAGCAAGAGCACAGCAACCCCCCACCCAACTTCATGGCAAAATAAGCAGGCTTCTGTCTCCTGAAATCAAAGGTTTGATTTGCTTCAGCTGTGCAGGAGAGGGGCTGCCTGTAGAAAGGAATTAGAGCTTGAACGCGTAGCAAAAATAGACCATGGTGAAACCTCCAAATCCTGGAAGCACATGACTGAGCTTTCCTAATTCCACAGCCAGCAGTGCGCGGTGCTGGAGAGCCTGCTCCCATCAGAACGGCACTCTCATGAGTAATTAAAGCCGTGAAAAAAAAGAGCACGCTCTCAAAGTGCCTAAATTGAAACAGCAGATATCAGAAAACTGTGCTGGGGTTCTAAGAGCAGGTAAATGATCAGCTCGAGGGAAGAGAGGCACGTAATGGCAAGGAAGGCGCTTACCTCCATAATGAAGCTCTTTCTGTTGACCCACGTAGGGAAACAGGCATCAGTAATTTAGACAGGAAAATTTGCACTGTTTCATTATGATGGAAAAGTGGGGTTTAGAAATAAATCCTATCCATAAATCTTTCAAAATCACCACGATTGATTTCCTGCTGCAAAGCAGGAGCAGCAGCTGCCACAGCTCTGCTTCCCTCTGCTTTTCAGACAGCCTGGGGAACGTGTCCTCCGAAAGGTACCCATCACCTCCACAGCTTTGGGCGATTGAAGTCATTTCCACTGAGGTAAAGGGCGTTCCAGGCCCCTTTTCACGGAGGGGTCAGAAAAAGGTAAAAGTAATTGCTGCAAAGTCTGTTGTTCCAGAACGTTCTCTCCGGGAACATGCATTCATATTGTAACGGTGGGTGGCTTTAGGATTTTTTTTGTTTGCTCCATTTTACCACGGAAGAAGAAGAGCCATCTTATCACCTCATCTCATCTCCTGCGTGCTACAGAGATGGGTCATGCACTGAGCAAGCAAAATGGGTGCAAGGAACGAGCGCTGGGAAGCACTGGGTGCAGCGGAGCACCACGCTGTTCTCCCATTTGCACGTTTCTCACCAGTGCAAGCATCAGCCCGACGCCTGATGAGCAATGAGCAGAATGTGGGCACCATCATGCCATCGTGCCTAATGGGATCAAAGGTGTTTGTGGAGATGTCTGAGAGGGGCTCGATGGAAAACAAACTCCTTCTATGGGAGTGGGGAACAGCCATGCAAAGCCATCCTGCAAAAAGACTGCATTTTACCATTTAATCCTCAATTATACACATGACTTCGCTGCAGAAAGGTCACCACACAAAGAACGTTAGTCAACCGGGCTGAAGGGAGGGGCTGCGCGGCCGCGCTCAGCCCAGCTCTCGCCGAACGGCTTTGCCTCAGGAGCACAAACGCCCGAGCGGAGGGCGAGCAGGGGGTCGTTCAGCCCGGGGTCACGTGGCCCTCCCGGCCCTAACCCCGGATGCCTCCTCCCATCGCGCCCTCAGAGCCGCTCCGGGGCCGCCGAGATGCGGGCGAGAGCGGGCGGGCTGTGGAGGCGGCGGGCGGCGCTGCTCCTGCTGCTGCTGGCGCTGTGGGGCTGGAAGCCGAGGGGAGCGCGAGCGCAGCGCCCGGCACAGGACACAGGTGGGGCGAGGGGCGCGAGCCGCGCACCTGCCGACCGCCCCCGGCCGCGCTGTAACGGCTCTGTCCTCGTCTTTCAGAGAACGGGACGGATTGCGTTCCCCCTTCGTCTGAGTTTCCTGAGGGATTTTTTACACCGCAGGAGAGAAAGGATGGCGGAATCGTTATTTATTTCCTAATTATACTTTACATGTTTTTGGCCGCGTCCATCGTGTGCGATGATTACTTCCTTCCATCTCTAGAGATCATCACGGAATGTAAGTGCGTTCATCTCTTTCCCTATAGCGCCGGGGGCTCGTAGCTGGGGCACTGCGGGCAGAGCTGCAGCCACCCCACGGATCCTCGCACACACAGACCTTAGCAGCATACGATGCTGTGCCGAAAAGCAAAGCCTGTAAGCACCGGCGTGAGCTGCCGCCATACAGTGGGTATGTCAGAGGAGGGGACAGTTAGAACAGCCCGTGAAATCTCATCACCCTGCAGTAAGTCCCCAGGCTTCAGCAGACCGCTGAATGTAAAAGTGGTCCTGGCTGAGTTCAGATCTTCATTGATAAAACAGGTTCTCCAGGGAAACTCATCCCTGAACACTGGAAAACGCTCTCCAGACCAGAACGCTTGCAGGAAATGTAAGTTTAAGCATTGCCATAGAGCCAATACTTCATTTAAATCGACATGTTAGACTGTTGTTCCATATCAAGCTATACTTTCCTATCTCAGCACAGACCTCAATCCAAAAGGTAATGTTTCATAAACAGTTTACAAGAACAAAAGTCGTATAGCGTTCATGGAGGAGGTTCATTCCAGCACTGGTTTAAATCTATTTTTGGTTTACTAAGACACAGGAGCATGGATTTCCCTCAAAACAGACTTGACTTGAATCATCATGAAGTGTTACCACACTAGTCCAAGGAACCTCCCCACCAGTTTTATCCTCATGAAGCAGCATTAAGGCCGACATAAACGTGCCTATTTTACCTTTTAAGATCATACTGCAATGCCTTTGTTACCAGTTTCTAGTATTTAAATGAGGTTGGGAACAAGTTAGCTCAATTAACGAGGCTACATTTTCAGTGTTTTAGGAATTTCAAATGATTGCATTAACTGTATGAAAGAGAGCAGAGTTCATCCCAGTACACTGTAGTAGCTTCTAATATTACATACTGATGTAAGACTGCTGAAGTATTTAGGTTTTAAAAAAAATTCTTAAAGCAATTCTTCCGCTCTGTCCTCAGGCCTTGGCCTCTCTCAGGATGTTGCTGGAGCAACTTTTATGGCTGCTGGAAGCTCTGCTCCAGAGCTTGTCACTGCTTTTCTAGGTAAGAGCCACACACTTTGACTCCTAGTAACCTAGAACTCTTTACCTTGCATGTCAGAGAGGAACGTACCAGAGTCATTTTCCCTGTAGGAGTCTTCGTGACAAAAGGAGACATCGGCGTCAGCACCATCCTTGGGTCGGCCATCTACAATCTTCTGGGGATCTGTGCAGCATGCGGGCTGCTCTCTAGCGTGGTAAGGATCAACTCGGACAGTCTGCACCTGAGAGCCAAGTGGTTATCCTTTCTGCTTCGCCAACAAAAGTCAAGAGAGACTTACTATGACAACCGTCAAGTTTATTATTTCGTAGCAAAACCAGCATGTAATCAGATTTCAGATAAGTTGCTATGAAAGTTTTTAAAAACACTAAGTTGTTAAATATCATACTTGAGTCATTCCTAAGAATCTTAAATTTGTACATAATATAGAAACAACATACCGATGCAGCATTTACAGCACTTAGTGAAAGTATTACAGACACATTTTTAAAAAATGAAAATGAATCTGTGATCTGCAGGTTTCCAGGCTGTCCTGTTGGCCGCTGTTTAGAGACTGCCTGGCATATACCATTAGTGCAGCGGCGGTCCTTGCGATGATATCTGACAGCAGAATTTACTGGTAAGAGCACAAGTAGTGTTTAATTACCGTTGACTGGAGATTAGTGAAACAGTGCTAAAAAACAAACAGACAAACTTCAGCTGCCATTCACTAACAGAAACATACATCCTGTTGGCTTTAAAAATGTAGAAAGTCACAACACTTGTAAAGATTATTACCCAACCATTCCAAACCCTGCGTATTTATAGTCTGGTCTGCATAGGCTTCTTTGTACAAACTTCACAACTTCTATCTGACCTGTTCTGGCATAGCAGTTGGTCTTCGTAGCTTACTTCTTTTAGAGACTTTCCTTAACAGCATTACCACTAAAACGTTTCTCTGTCAGAAGTAGATCATGACTTTCTGATGTCAAGTCTCTTCCATCACTACTGAAGCTCCTCTTGTCTCAAAACAGTCAGGCCCGGTGCCACCTCTCTGAAGTTTCTGACTCAAAATAACACACTCTGTCCGCCTCCTTAACCATCTCATAAGACTCAGTTTTGCAAACATCAGTTGTTCAGTAAGTTCCCCTGGAAAACATGCAGCTATACAATACACAGACAAGATTCTGCAGGGGAGGAGAATTAATTAAACTGCTGAAAGACATGAAGAAACTTACAAACTTCTATGACATTGCCCATACAAGTGCAAAAAGATGCTTTTGTTTTTTCCTTTCACTACTCATGCAATTTTTGTCTTCTCATGTCAGTCACTTTAGTTATTTATTATATATTAATCTATATTACACGTTATGTAATTTTTTTTTTATTTTTAATTCTAGGTATGAAAGTGCTTCCTTATTATTAATATATGGGTGTTATATTCTGGTACTATGTTTTGACATTAAAATCAACCGGTGCCTCATGAAAAAGCTCAGTCCCTGCTGCTCGTGTTTTACAAAAGCCACGGAACAGAGCGGTGAGCAGCAGCCATTAGCTGGATGGAGGGAAGAGAGAGGGCCTCTAATTCGTCCACAGTCAAGAACTGATAGTGGAATTTTTCAAGATGAGCTGGACTATTCTCAGCTTTCAACAAGCTTACATGGGCTCGATGAGATCTCTGAAGGTATAAGTATTCTCACAGTTGTCTCTAAGTTCTAACAAAGAGCGGGTTTTCAGATATTATTAAGATTTTGCTCAAAAAATATCATAGTATTTAAGTACATCGTTATTCCGTGCTGGAATATAACGTTTAGTAAAATTGTAGTTGTGATTTTTGTATGAAGCTAGTTGCTACAGGAATGCTAGGATAGTTGCTTATTTGTGCCATTAACAGAACTTCCATCAGTTACTGCTGTGCACGTTTGAAACTTCCCAGCAACTCTGTAAAATGCAGTATCAGCTGAAAGACACACTGCTACTGTACTAATACATCCTGTTTTGTCATGACAGTGGCCAGTTTGTAACCCAAAATATGCATTAAAGCAGAAGGAATATGGAGCCACGGACCACGCTTCCTCTTCACTTAGACAAATCATCAGTTGGTGCTAAATCTTGTAAACATTTTGCATAAACCTCATAGACAAGTTCATTTTTCATCCACCTTGGCTGTCTCCTAGTGACACAGTAATAAAGAACATCTGATTTCAGAGCTCAGTCCAGTGTGATGTAGGCACTAGTAAGACAACAGTTACAACGTCACAGTCATTTTCTTGTACCTTTTTCCAGTATTCTCACAAGTAGAAGCAAATCGTATGACTTAGTGCTAAGATTCAAACTTAATGCTACAGTTTAAAACAGTTCATTCATCAACAGATCATCCAAGTGTCTTCACCATGCCTGAAGAAGATATGAAGAGAATTCTGTGGGTGTTATCCCTTCCTATTATTACGCTGCTCTATTTGACTACACCAGATTGCAGAAGGCGGTTTTGGAGGAATTGGTTCATGGTAACATTTTTCATGTCAGCAGCATGGATTTCTGCAATCACTTACGTCCTTGTGTGGATGATAACAGTAGCAGGTAGGTACCTCAGGTGCTGCACCAAAGCAACCGATTAACCATGGCTGGAAAAGTTTTCTTTGTGTGAAGATTTTCCTTTTTCACATTTAGCAGTCAGTATAGCAACACGTATTTTGCTTAAAACAAATAATCCCTTGTGTGTGACTGCTTCGTTTGCCTCCTTCCATCTAAAGAAAACCTCTGTAGAATTTAGCTATTTTTGACTGCTTACCATTGTGTGAAAGAGAATTTGTTTACAAAGCTACAAAAACCAGCCTATATTTAAAAAGATAGTTTCATTAAATTGCTCGATGAAGTGAAACAATGAGGTATGCAGGAACAAACTCATCAGGCTGAAGTCTGGCAAACATGGAATCCACCAAGACTGAAATTAAAGATTCAGATTTTTGGAAGAGATCCATTATTTCTACACCTCAACTGCCAAAAATGGTGCCCAAACTTCCATATTATTTTATTCCCACTACAGTGTCATATGTTTATTAGTGTCATATATGTTTATTCCTTACATGTGTTTCTCTCTTAAAAATCTGCATCATAAAGTAAAGCTGAAAAAGCACTGAATTTGAGTGAGGTAAGATGTGAATGAATGTAAAATCAGTTCTAAAATATCCTAAAGTATTAAAAGGTTTCCCCATTTCACTGTTTCTCCAGTCAGCTCAAGAAAAAAAAAAAACAACCAGGTTTTAATTTTAAGAACGAGCAGAAAACAGATCTCTAAATGAGAAACAGCACAAACATTGCCATTTCTACATCATAGCTCACTAACCCTACTTGAGTATTCTGCTAGTTCAGCATCCTAAACTTGTTTTCAAACTAAAAATTCAGCGAATAACTTCTTGTTAAGTGCAGACACAGACCTACACAACAGTAGACATGTGAGAAGTTACTAACATTGCTGGATACAACACCCATCAGGTTCACTCCTTGGTCAAACAATTTTCTGTTTGTATCTAAAAATCAAAGATTTACCATCTGAATGCTAGAAGCCTCTGAGACAGGATCCAGATGAAAATTATTGCCCATCTACTAGACGAAACACTAATTCATATGAAAGTAGGTACAGTGGAGTTCCAAATAGCACATTAGTGTTAGTCCACTCTGAAGAGTCATTACAAGCAGCACTGGGGTCTTTGTCCCACTACTTCAAGGTCAAATATGTTCTATTTACACATTAAAACTCTAAAAATTACATGTATTTGTATATATATATTCAAGTCTAGGTTCTCTGATGAAAGTTGACCCAAAAATATTCTATTTTTGCATAAAAATGGCCTATCAAACGTGCCAAAAGTTTCATCGCAGGGGGCTACGTTTTGATGGTCAAGAGCAAACCTAATTTAGTACACTTTTATTTTTTTTACTAGCAAGGAAATTTTCATTACTATAGCAAGATATTGCTATCGATACACAAAATGAACTGAAGGCTAGAAAAATAAGACCATTCTCTCTTTATGGTCAATTGCCAGAAAAAAAACCCCTACAGTTCAACTAGAAGATGAATCTATCTACTAGTTAAAAAAAAAAAAAAATCAGCTTCACCTGAGTTTAGATTCTATCTTATAAACTTCAGAGGGCTAGAAACGACTACTGGGTGCATAACACTGGTTCATTCATATTTCAGCTTTGTTTGCTTAGCTTATAAAAGCTGATCCTATTGGTCCCTCCATCCTACCAATCTCTTACATTAGAAGCCATGGAAAAATAAATACCACTACATATTTTACAAGAGGATGATATTAGTCCCTTTGAACAGGAAAAATTTCAAACAAATTTATGGGGTTGATCTAGACTAAGCTGTTATGTAGTAGGCAATCATTGCTGAGCTACGTTACAGCACACTGCCTCTTATTTTAAGAAAACTGCTTAGAAGTGTCTGAATACTCTTCAGTCTGAATACTAAAACCAATACAGGTTTTAAAAACAATAATAAATTTCTGTGGTTCAGTAAAATGTAAGACAAGCTTTAATTACTTAACAGTCTGAACAGAAATATCAAGTACTTCAAGGTATTGATGCTTATGAATGGTACATAAAACTAAAGGCTGCTACAATTTTGAAGATCTGAATCCCTGTATTCTAAGAAACCTGTATTCTTTCAGCACACACAGGGCTAAAAATACAGGTAGGCAGGAAATTTCTGCTTTGATAAATATATATATTTTTATTTAAAATCAGTGTTGATCTAAAGAAACTACTACAGAAACTTCTACAGAACTACTTGTACTTAAAAGTCATTTTGCTTCTTCCCAAAGACTGAAAAACTTCTAATTCCTTCTAACTGGAATGAAGTGATAGAGCCACATAGATGAGACAATATTGTAACCATACCCTTAATGTCCTCATTTCCTAACAAAGTCATGCCTTGGTGTTTTTTCTCCTCTCCCCCCTTTGGAGAGTTTGTGTTTATAAGAATTACTGCTCCATAACACTTTGGAGTGCCAATGATGAAATGTCTCAAAACCAAAGAAAACTATTACATTTTCCAGGAATTGAGAAAAGGGAATAAATAGGAATTTAAATTTCAACTGCACCTCGAAGGACAATCCATAACTAATATTTTGAACACAGAAAACCTTCCATCCACTCAGGTCTTTGAAAAAGCTGTAAATAAGATATTTGCTATCCTATAGTTCCTTGATTGAGGAACAAGAGCAATATAACCTGTCATTGTTGTTACTGTTACTCTTTAACTACTTCATAGTTCAGTCACTGCATGTTTAGTCAAGTTAAATTGGTGAACGGTTTCCACAGATTTTAGAATTACTATTATTAATAATCCTTTTTCCAGCAAAGGACACCTGAATAAATTTCTTCAGATGAAACAACCTAAAAAATCTTGCTCATATTTTCTCCCATTGTCTCTGAACTACAGGTGAAACACTGGGAATTCCAGAGTCAGTAATGGGTCTCACATTACTGGCAGCAGGAACAAGTGTACCAGATACAGTTGCAAGTGTGCTGGTGGCTCGAAAAGGTAAAGATCTTGGTGGTCAGGCTCATTCCAATCGGTGCGTTTAAAAAGCACTTTGACAACAGAGTTCTAGTCAGCATCTCCAGAAATTCAAGGAGCAGCTTCAAAACTTTCTCCAGTTTCTAAGTTTACCATGAATAAATACGATAGCTTAGCTAAAAAAAGAAACATAAAAAGCTGCGGTTCAGACATCTAAAAACCTCCCAGTATCTCAGGTAAGTGTTCTGGACTGGTGTGATTTGTTGTTGATCACATCACAGCTTTACTGCAAAGCACAACCTGTCTTGGTATTTTAAACACAACTGGATTTTACACTATCCTGTTTAGCTTATCTTAAGAGCAGCTTCGCAGGCACTGGTGACTTAGGGAGACATTTTTTACGCTTGTGGTATCAAAACCACAGTCTGTGGAATCATATTTACCTTTGTGCAAAGAAGAAGATTGAAAAGGGCGCTTCACAAAAAGTCGAGGGCCAACAGCCTATTGCTCCAAAACAGTTTGCCAATTTTGTATAACACGAGTCAGGTTTATTTGTACTTCTTGTTTTACAGGAAACGGAGACATGGCTATGTCTAACATTGTGGGATCCAACGTATTTGATATGCTATGTCTGGGAATACCCTGGTTTATAAAAACTGCCTTCATAAATACATCCGAACCCATAGAAGTGAACAGCAGTGGTCTGACCTACACAGCCACTTCTCTCATCTGTTCAGTTGTTTTTATTTTTCTGGCAATTCACCTGAATGGCTGGAAAATAGATAAAAAATTGGGAGCAATTTGTCTTATACTCTACTTAGCATTTACTGTATTATCAATTTTATACGAACTTGGCATCATAGGGAACAATCCTACAAGGGTCTGTGGTAACTAGTTTTAATCAGTGATGTACTGATGAAAAATAAAAGCCAGAGAAAAAGATCAGTTTCTTCATTTAGTCAAATAAAAAAAAATCCAAGACTTCCATTGGACTCTAAATCTTATTTACAGAACTAAGTCATGGCATTAAAGTAATATTAAGTAGAACAAAAACATCACAGCCTAATTGGAGCCCTTTCCTTTAGAGTCAAGAATTACAGTATGACAACAAGCACATAAAACTAGAATTCTGGAAGGAAAAAAAACCACCTAGTTTTTACATTACAATGTTGATACAAGAGCTTGGGAAAAAAAAATAAAAATCACGAAACACTAAACAAATCCCACTATGCAATCTTAACAGAGAAAATGGCTTATTTTATTAAAAACAGTATAACCATTCATTTAAACTGAATGACTAGAGAGAGACACTTGGCCTAATTTTCCAAAGGCGCCAAGCATCCAAAGTTCCCATAGTCTAATGGAACCTACAGGTGCTCAGTGCCTCTTAAAAAAACAACAAAAAATCAGGCTAATTGTCTTTAAAAACCAAACATAGTAAGATTCAGTTAACAAGTATCACAGTATATTAAACACTATACTGTTAAAGGCTGGTGGGATTTAAAAGTTCCTTTTTACAGCTTTTGTAAGCATACAATGTTACTAAAAATGACTTACTAGGATAGAGAAGCTAAACAGACATAGGAATGTTCCTGAACACAGTTTCAAGTTATGCATTGCGATCCAAGCGAACGTCAATTTCTCTGCCACTGATTTTTATGCCGTTCATTATCCTACAGGCCTTTTCAGCAGATTCTGGCGAGTCAAATCTGACTGTTCCACAGCCTTTTGATTTTCCATTCTCCATTTTTATTTCTGCAAACATTACATGACCTGAATAAACAAGTTAAACAGCAGTTACTTTAAGCCTTCAGTGTACTATAAACTTAAAAGAACTAATTAGAAGTGATAAAAGATTAAATATTAAAGATTAAATATAATTTGGGGAACATACAATAATAGCATTTTTAGACTTACGGCATATTCACTGATTCAGGAATGAGACAAATCAGAACAGCAGTGAAGAATCCAAATTATGACCCACTCTTTCAACTTTGCTCTAAACTTAACTAAGATGAAGTATATCTTAATTTGACATCAAGTTGGAAACAAAGCACCCTAAAAATCTAAGGGAAATTTCCACACTTCATTCATGGAGTCATATTGCCAGAACAGTGATTAATGGACATATTTTGAATGAATGACAGCTCAATCCAGTCCACCATGTTCATTCTAGTATGACAATCACAGTAATATTATCAACCAACCACAACGATCTTATAATTTTGCAAAAAAGTTGCACAGCAAAAAAGCCAGCATGCACTTCCCAATTCTTTTAGTATTTGCTCAAATTTGGACACTCAACCCCAAGACAACGCATCTATGTAGATGCCAGAAATGCACTCCACTCTTGAGCCCTCATTTGCCAGTTGGAACAGTAAATTCTCCCCTAAAATACAGGGCTTTTTATATTTAAATGTCACAGAATAAAAGGCTGGCCTTTCACTGAAAGCAATCACTTTCATTCCAGCATCATAAGGAAATATGGAGACGTGGATTCATATGTTTGTTGTTTATATTTGTGTTTATCAGTCTTAAAAAACACTCAGCATAATCACTGCACCTGACAGTAGCCAGAAAGAAAAAAAATTCCAGAACTCTGACAGTTGCCTATGTAATTAAGACCAAAAAAACCTGTTTGCCTGTATCAATTTCTCAGAAAACAATCTAATTCCTTAGCATAACTGCAAATGTAGCACTAAGTTGATGATGGCAGAGTATAAATAATCGTACCAGAACACAGATATTCCTATCATAAGTCACTCGATGCTACAACTGTATCTGCAAAAGAAGTTGTACTTGAAGAATTCTTCTTAACTACCTGTATGCATTTTAGTAGAGAACAGTTACATCCATTTGCACAAGAACTTATTTCACATACATTCAAATCAAGGCAGGAGGTGGATGGCAAGAAAAAAGAGCACAAGATAATCCCTGAAAAATTTCTGAAGCAAAATCAGAAGTGAACAACACCTCGCTGGTTTCAGATTAACTTGCTAATCAAGTTCACGTAACTGCGTAAGTTTAATGCTGAACATGAATTAAACAGCTCTGCTGCATGTTCTGTTTTTAAAAGAGGCGAAGGTTTATGTGATCCTTTAGCAGAGTGCTGTCCCAGTACAATGCCAGGATAACGACTTCCAGCTCCCAGAATTTTAACAGCAGCACTCAGTCCTGATAATAGGGGAAAACAGGGAACTCCTCTCTAACGAGCTGGTGCACCAGCTCTGGCTATAATTGAAGAAGAACTTTCAGTCATGGAACACAAGGACACTGAGTTCCTGTAACTATTGAATACATTTGAACACTGAGTTTTTTCACAGTGCTACTGCAAGGTCTAAAATATTTCTGCTCTACGCATTGGTGCACGAAGACTCCCTTAGATATCACAGCAGAACATTTTAAATTCTTTCTTTCCTGCTTCCCAAAGTCAGTAAAGCCATCCACAATTCAGTTATTTAATTCTGAAGCGTTACATTCAATTACATCAAGTTACACCATTCTGAAAAGTGAGATTTCAAAAAAATTAAACTCACCCTCATATTCCAACATACAAGTTTGATTAGAGAAAGAATTACTGGATATTCACAGTACTCCTGTATCTTACAAAAAAGAAGGGCTTTTATTTCACAACAGAAGGCATGACACTACAGCCTGCAAATGTGCTTATCAGGATCACCTACTTGCACTAAAAAGATCTGCTGCTTTAGCAAAGTTATTAACACTGCTTTGATGCAGTACCATTACTGCAAATCATATATGGCCTGGACACACTGACACCCCTACAAGCATTTGTCTCAAAATAAACGTTTCATTACATACCAGAGGAGATCTTATTCCTATTAAAAAAAAAACCTCAAAGGGTAATTTTATTAATAGAATGGGTTAAAGTTTACAGCAGATTAGCACTCTCAGTCAGCATAGCCCATGCTGTACATGAGCCCATGTCTCACATGCTGTCAAACCAAAAAATTTAAAAATTATTTGTAAAACTGCCCTTATCTAAAGAACATCATACAGAATGTGAAGTCAGTGGAGCTGAGTAGATGTAAGAGTTGCATACATACCACACTGACTGAATTTCTCCTTCAGCTTCTGCCAGGTCAAGTCAAAAGGGAGCTAGAATTTAAAAATATTTATTACTAGCAAAAGATTACGACAGGAGAGAGCATGTAGCGAAACATGCACACAAAATAAGCTTAGAGTTTCCCCATTCTCAAACACTTACATTTCTCACAAATATCTGGTTGCCTTTAGAGCCCAATCTCTCTTTCATGGCACCTCCCATGGGGCCGGGCACAAATCCTCGGTCTATATCGATGTTCCTGTCCAGGCCTCCACCCATAGCTGGTCCCATTCGATCAAAGCCAGAACTCATCCGATCCATTCCCATTCCTCCAGGCATACTGTTCATACCACCCATCCCACCACCTACAGAAAGAGGATGATAATAATAATAGTGTATTTTATTAGTAAGAAATGCATAAGCATATTATAAACAAAAGTTATTTTTCTTCTGCCATAAAAGAATGTGTACATGCAGTCACTCATACACACTACTGTCAACTGAAGAGAACTAAACTCTCAGCTCTACTCAACGCAGCCCCAGCACGCTCAGTGACAGTCTTAGCGAAAAAGCACATAATGCAAAGAGCAGACATGATTGCAAGTCCTGTGAAGAGTATGGATTTTCCCATGATACATGCAATAGAATATATTGAAGTACATTACATAAAGAACCAAGATCAATGGCATTCAAATATCCTGTACACTGGTTTTTCTGGATTCATAATTAAAAATTAATGTAAAACAAGTTTATCAAGATCACGAGGGACCCTCTAACTCTTATGTCTCTTGAGATTGCCACTAGCAAGATTTTAGTTTCTCGTGTGCTCTAGCTTGAGGAACTGAGATATTTGCCTTAGTATAAACTTAGTATCCGAGCTTTGCACAAAGTTGAACTCTGTGATAATCTGCAACTCAAGAGATTACTGAAATAACTGAGCTCAGCTTCATCAAGTTCATACAATTCATTTTGCCCATTCATCTTTTTTCTAGAACACAAGTTTACTTCAATCACTTCTCCCTCCACTCCATAAGCTCAAACTATTTCAAACCTGTATGTTTAAGGAAAAGACTAGAGGAAAACCTGCTAAATGAATTTTCACCTTAACAGAACAGCTTTAACAACCATTAGACTTGCAGTCACATGCAACAGACTTCTGACACTGACCAAACACTGCAGTACAAATCTGCTGAAACAACTGCACGTACAACAGCCAGATCATTACATTGCCTGAGCATTTATGTTCCATGGAGACAAGTAAACCTACTCATTCCAGATCCTACTGGGCCCATTCTAGGTGCTCCCATTCCTCCGGCAAAAACACCAATCACTGCACCACCTAAACAGATAAAAAATAAAGTGACATACACTGAAACTGCCAGATAGTGACAACAGCAAGGCACACAATGATAAAGCACACTGATCTCAGTGCTTCCCAGCAATTCTTTTCCACAGAACACTTCAGCCTGTGCCTTTGTTACACGAGCTAAGTAGGAAATACCCAGCAAGTAACTTTACCTCTTCCTTCCCTATTACAGGATGTAAGCTACTCTGATTTTCTTTCTAGGCAGTTTTTCTCCACCCCGCTATCAGTGCAAACACCTTAAACTAAATAAGCCATTTCCCACACTGCGATTAACAGCCCCATTTTCAAGGCTGAAGGGTTCATTCTATTTGAACCTTACTATGTTTCTCCCACTCTGAAGAAACTCACGTAAAAGCTCAAATTGTCTCTCAAAGCCTGTCTTTATTGTCTATGAATGCAAAGTTCATAGAACTGGGTGGGAAAAAAAGAGAAAGAGAGCAATACTAGTTAGAAAGTGCCAGGTAAAACCATGAAACCTCCAGAACAGTGTGAGAAACTGATTCTAGAAAGTGGGGTTTAATGAAAAAAAAAAAAAAACAAAAAAACCCACACTCTGATTTTTATTGAAGTGCTATGATTCAGTAAAGTAATCCTGAGGGAGCTTCTAGAATTGTAAAAACTCAAAGAACTACATTCATGTCAATGCCAAGCAGAATAAGGGGCCACGCAGACTTCAGAGCAAACTCTCCCATTTGTTCTGCGGAACAAAACTGACAAAGTTAGTTCCAACAAACCTTGTTTCTACAAACAGCATTCTGGAACCACAGGTCTAACAGTGGTACCGACCTCATAGAAGAGCTTCCTATAAAAACAGGCAATGTTTCTGGATATAGGTAGCATAATCATTTCAGTTTTCTACCTATAAGTAAGGAAGCAGGAACTTGCAGATGACTCTGGAACTGGCAGTTACTACATTTTTCTTGCTTGATTTTCTCCCTACAAGAAACAGCTCTGTTTTTTACTTACGATAAAACTGATCAACTGCTGGCTAATTTGGGCTGGACACCACTGCCTCACTATCTACGAAACGTAACTGCTGATATTTTCCATTTTTCATCTTCCATCAGATTCATTTTCTGTAGACAGTTCAAAACAGCAGCAGTGGTTCCCTGTCAGTCTCTTGGGAGAAACAGTTTCCTCCTCACAGAAAACACACTGTCAGAGAGACTTCAAAGAAATATGGACCAAGCTGTTCAAGAGACTATGGTTGTTCAACACCAGCAGGATTACTCCCAATAGTTTGCATATGAGGAAGCCCTTAGTACTTATTCGTTAGGCCAAAGAGGGTGTATTACAAGTAACAGACTTTTGAGTCCGCTTGTACAAGCATTTCTAACTGAACTGGCTCTGGACTTTGATTGAAGAAAC